ACGAAAGAAGGAAGCTCAGGACCGAAACTACACGCAGAACGGCCGGGGATCAGGAATGCCGAAGTATCCTTAAGAAGTGCTGGTGTCAATGAGACCGGTTCTTAACTGTATTTATGTAGTATTTGTTTCATTTATATTCCGCTTTTCTACCCATGCAAGGACCGCCGGGCGGCTTACAAAACGGCCGTAAAATCCATGATCACAAGAAGCTAAATATTAAAATACAATTAATACTATAAAGCAATATCTTGTTGCTAGTCCCATCGAGTGGTAAGTCAACGTTTAGGTAAATTCTGTAGAGTCAAACGATCTATTTTCGAGGCCAGGACACTGTGGCAGCAAACAATTTAAAAACATTTTTAAAGTACATTTATAAATCCATAAAGTGCCCCATTCCCATTCAAAGCTTTTTTCGCCCCCAATCCATTCGGTTCGCAAAGGTCTGCCTGCAGAGAAAGAATAGGGAGCAGCCAGGCCCAGCCTCTGGTGGAATGGAGTTCCACGGCCAATTTTTTTTTTTTTTTAAAAAGGTGTGTAGGGGGGACGCTCTCTGCGGTCCTCACTAAACATCCCTTTGAGGACGATGGGACCGAGAAAAGGGTCTGTCCTGAAGGTCTTAAAACTGAGGAAGCTCAACGCTTCCTCTTGGGCGCTGTGCTGGGGCGGATGTACTTTGGATCTCTCTGCACTCTTAGGATCGGCGCTGTGCAGCGTTCAGAAGTGAGGAGCCAGAATGCCACTCAGGGACACCCCGCCAACCCAACCCGATTGTTTTCCTAAATTTGCCCACGAAGGATCCGTGAAGGATCGCGTGCCTTCCCTGCTTGGATGCCGCTGCGGCCTCTCTTTATACGGTCTTGAATATCTCCTGGAGCCACTCAAAACGACCAGATATTTAGGGAAACGTTTTCTGCGACGATTGATCGTGTACTTTTTTATGGGGAGGGGGTTATTCTCTTGCTCCGCAAGTCTCTTGGCAGTTAGAACTTTCTCTGGGAAAGAATGCCCCCCCTCCAAATAAAACCTCTTTTTTTTCTCCCCCCCACACACTTTTTTTTTCTCCTTCAAACGAGGCTTCGTAAACTTCAGGCTTCATTGCTAATCGCTTGCAGATCCTAGCTAGCAAGGGCAGGGGTTGGGAGGAAGCGAGGGTATTCCCTCCATATCTCGGAAATATTTTATTTTATTTTAATTTAAAGCGCCGTTGGCGGCGCTGGCGTGGGGGGGGGGGTTGAGGCAGGCAGGGGGCGAAAAGCGGACTTGTTAAAGAGACGGGAACCCGAGGAGGGATGTAATAAAACCGAAGCGCAGGTCGCGGGAGAATTCCCAGTTTTTGGAGCGGCTCCGCAGCGCCATTATTCAATCAGGAGAGCAGTTAGGAGAAAGTATGTTTACACCAGTCGTGTCACTTCGGTTTCAAAAACTCCGCCGCCGCCTCGAGAGAAACACACACAGAGAGAGACTATTCCAAATATTCCGTATGTTAAACAAACACGTCCGAAGAGAGCGCAGCGGCTATATTCTCCACGAGCCCCTTTACATGCGAGGTTAAACTGTTTCCACTCCGGTAATGAGAAACGGAGTGGCCGGGCTGTCAGCCTCGCAGGTTCGGAAGCAGGATCCAGGCCGGTTTCTCTCGATTTCCCCCTCCCTCCCCTCCCTTCCTTTTTTTTTCATCTTGTGAAAAGAGCATTCCACTGAAATCGACGCGGGCTCCAAGCCGTTACCTTTCTGGACCTGGAGTGAATTCGAATTTAAGCCATTATTTGTTGCGGATTGCCCTCTGGCTAAATAGTCCAAGGTGGCAAACAAAACAAAACAAAACAAAACAAACACAATTCCTTGGTGCAAAATTTACTCGCGAGTAGATGGCACACTTGCTCTGAAACAACTCCTGCTGAACGCGTCGAACCTCCTAGCAAGGAAACGATGTAACTGGGCAGAGAAATTTGCCCCGTGAGTGTAGCTTCTTTTCAAGGAGCAGTGGTGCCATCCTCTACCTGCAGCCCTATTCCGAAGGAAGCCTTCCTAAATCAGTTCAGTGCGATCCTAAGACCCAATGGCGAGTGCTTAAGGTCGCTCTCTAACCGCGCAGTCTCCTCTGTGCTTAGAAACGAGAGGCTTGAAGGACGGAATCAAGCCATGTTAGAGGGGTCACGTCCTTCCCTGTCAAATTCTCTCCACTTCTACCAGATTGCAGGCTATAAATCCACGTTAGGAAGCATTCTCTGCTCTAGGGCCAGGCGAGGAGGATTCGTTTGAGCTTAAACGCGTTATTCGTTTATGAATGTTGGTTGGCTGGCGAGTAAAGGTACGGGAGACACAGAAGGCAGCGCGCGTTTCCCGCAGTTCTGGATGACTTTGTGGTTAAAATCCTGGTTTTCAAGAGCCCTCGTTTAATCTTACTTTTTCCCGCATCGTTATAGAATCGAAAGATTGTTTAAAGAATCCAGTCCGTGTTTGTTTTGAAATTGAAGTGGGTGGGAGTTTTATCTGTCTCTCCCAACGTGTGGTCTTCTCTAGTCAATCTATACGTTGCGTTTTAACGCTTTCCCGTTGCCATCTCGGGAGATGTAAGCAAGCTCGCTTGGATCGTGGCCCAAAATTTGGCGCCAACAGGCTGCCTCGTTGAACCCCGCACCACCACCAGGCCCTCCCGGTTGTTCTAAAGAAACAGGTGTGTTGTGGCTTAATTTTTGTGCCTGCAAAAATTACCGGGACCCGAGCAGAGTCCTCTTCTTTTAACGACGAACACAGAGCGTTTGCACTGTTGGTTCTCGTACCTAAGCTGCCCCTGACAATTTTCCAACTGCGGGGACAAGACCCTGTTAGTCGAAGCCGTTTTCCCTTCTTCCGAGAAGGCAACCCTTCGAAGCCCCGATCCTCGCACACGCCTTCCTTCGGAAGTAATCTGCCTTGAATTCACAGAGTATCTTTACTCTGAAGTCCAGGCGCAGCCGCGGAGCCCGATCCCAGCCTGCACGGTTGTTCCGAACGGAATCCCAACTGGCCACGGGTGACAGGAGAGGAGCGGGTGGAGGAAGACCAGGGGACGCTTCCTTTCCAACCTACAATTTATTTATGTATTTTAATGCACACAAGAGGTGTTTAGGGCTGCCGCGTCCTAAGCCACGGTGGGCAGGCTGGCGTCCCTTTCCTGCGAGGAGAGGATCAGGCCGGAGAAAAACGCGCAAAGGCAGCCCCACACCCCACACCCCACCCCGTGTTGACGGCGGCGCCTCCCTCTATGACCTCCTCCCACTCGCAGAAAAATTTAAAAATAAAATAAATAAATCGTGTGGACGCGGTGACACTTGGTTTTGTGAGCATCACTCCCAAGAAAGAGGGCGGCGGGAACCGAGGTTTAGGATCTCACGATGGATGTGTGTGTATGTTTTTTTTTTCGAGCAGGATGCGCTTTGCTTTTGAACTGGGAACAGCACACGGCGTTGGGTTGATTCGTTCTCCTCTTAGCCTTCGGCTTCTGTTTGTCTCCATCAGAACAACCCACTATCTCATGCGCGCTTTTCTCTACTGTGCCCTTGCGTGTGTTTGTGTGTGAGAGGGTGGGGGGTATTTTTTTTAAAAAAAAGTGACGGGGATTTGATAGCAAGACCCAGAACCTGTCACGGCTGGGGAAAGCAGCTGCTGTTCTGAGGACAGATCTGTCTTCACCTCCCTGTTATGTGGCGCTACCTTGATCGGAAAGGGGAGAGTCAACTCGGAGCAAAGAAAGCCCGCTTTCCTCCCTGATGATGGATGGCTTAAATAGGGTTTGCCCAGACTGACACCGCTTCCTCGCCGACGGCTTAAATAGGGCGGCCGGGACTGGTCGGCCTCTCTGTCCCACGAAGAATCTGCCCGGGTGGATCAAAGTCCAGATCACACATTTCAAAGGGCGGGGAGGGTTCATTGACAGGATAGGAGAGAAACCTCCGGTCCTTGGATCGAATAGGACGTAAAGGTCCGTGGAGTCTACCCCGCAAGCGAAGGGTTTGGATGGGAGAATGCGGTGGGACAAGACCGAACCCGAGGTTAAAGATGCCCGAAATGGGACCTAGTACGCCGGAGGGGAAGGATAGATCCAGTGAGCCTCTCCTGCTAAGACTGGACGCATTTTGGGAACCATGATAAGTAGCGCTCAGGTCAGATGTGGCTCCACTGGGTTACACCTTAGAGGTCGAGAATCCCCCCCCCTTTTTTTTTAAATGTATTCTGGAACTGAGGCTGGGGAGCGATGGTGATGCCAGGCCAACGTGCTCTGGAGTACGTGGCCTTCAGTCCGGCTGCCCAAGGGCGCCCTTGCCGATCCATAAGCGAGGCTCTCTACGCTCCGGTGCCACCCTGGCCTCGATCTTGCCACCCCGGCGACAGTGGGCAGGCGATGGCTTGACGACCCCCTTCCCGCGCAACCTTTCCAGAGAGGGAGACTCTGCAGGGAGGCTCCCAAGAAAAAGGTGCGAGGTGGGAAGAGAAGTGCCCCCCGCCATCGCCTCCAGGCCAGCCCCTCCCCATCTGCCCGAGCGTGGGGAGGGGGCTTTTGACTCCTTGCCAAACCTTGGCCGCGGTGGACGGGCTGCCCCACAACCAGGAGCCGAGCCGCCCGCGGGACAGTTTCCCAAGTTTTTCGCAAACTTTTTTTCCCCAGTGCGCATGCCCAGGGGTGGAGGAGGCGAAGAGCGGAGAGGGGGGGAGGGAGGGAGGGAAGCCGGGGGTTGAAATAAGGAGGCGGCCCGAGGAAGGCGTCCGTTCAGTCGGCGCTTCGCCTGCTCCG